GATGATGATGATGATGATGATGATGATGATGATGATGATGATGATGACTTCTACTTGATGATGGTCTCCTACCACATCACCAGGGCGCCAGGCCTCCTCTCCTCCAAGAAGATCGCCACCCACCGAGCCAACCTAGCATCACCTTGCATCACCTATACCCACCTACCCAACCTCCTCCGCCCCACAAGCATCGCTGGCACGGGCCTTCCGCACGGCAGAGTCGAGCTTTCCGGGCTCGCAAGAGGCAGGTCTTTTGACGATGACACTCTTTCAGCCTCGCGATGGCGTCAGCTTCGTCGCCTTTGGAAAAGGCCCGGCAAACGGGCTTCGACGCCGCAAGGATGAAAAAGGAATCGGTTTTCACGGGGGCCTGGCACAAAACAAGGATTAGCAAGCCATAAGAGTGCGAAAGATGTTCAAAGATTGGGAAGACAATCCAATCTTGATTAGCTCGAATTCTTTGGAATGGTTTGCTTTCCCAGCACCTCTCCCATCGCCGCTCTGCGTCACAGGTGCCAGCGCCTGGCCACCGCCGCTTCAGTCTCTTCCAACAGCTTCTGAGCCTTGCGGCCCTGGCCCTCCGCCCTCCGCTTCTGCAACGCCTGGGAATCATTGCCAGACGATCAACAACACCCCAAACCATTGGGAGACGAAACCCACTTTGATCCGGCATGAAGCACGTTTCCAAAGGGGGTCAATGTCGAGAAGCCACATGGACCGGCGACACCGCCCCGGGGTGAACGTGAAAACAGGAGAGTCCAGTCGAGTTCCCTGCAGGTTCTCACTTGGTCCGTCAAGAACGTCCGATCACTATAGCCGAATGTAGAGTACCAGGACCTTCCAAGAAGTGTCTATCAATGGCTTCTTAGAGGTGATTCGGGGTGTCCAAGAACCACCTGTTGGAAGGTCCAGGAGTATGACTCTTTTAGAGTGCTCCCTTTTTTCGGACTGGAATCCGAGAGAATGAGACGTCTTACATGGATCATGAGGCCTCAGACCGGCGGATCATACAGGCCGCTCAGATACCGTCGCCCCGGGCCCGCCACGGGCGACCTCACGTTGGCGCGACACGAGCGACGGAGGGAGCATCGCCTTCTTCAACTCACTGATCTCGAAGAGCATCGTGCTCGCCTGTGAGTCATATTGGCACTGGGGGAGGCACCGGAAAAAACCCGGGAGCTGCACACGAACAGCTTCAGCTCTGAAAGGGTTGAATACTATACTAAGAAGATCTAAGAAGGTCATCCTACCAGGGTGAAACGGGATCTGGGTTTGACCCACCACATGGGTAGTGTGTGACATAGGTGAGATTCGAAGGACATGGTGAATGGCGAAGGCTTTTCGGGGGGTGTGATATGGATCAAGTCTTTGTGAGAATTGGATGGAGTAGACCCTGGGTATCTCGAGAAATGTAAAACAGTAGGACTCAGTAGGAGGAGGAATGGACGAATGACCAACGACTGTGTTGACTCACCTGATTCATGTCTTCCTTTCCTGCACAAGAACAGTGAAAAACTAGTACGTCGCTTGTGTCATTTTCGGCCCAACCGCGCGGTCCTTGGTCTTCTCACGACTGTAACAACCCCTGCGATTTCATCTTTCCAGACCGGAAGTGACTCGACTTCCAAAAATACTGGAGCCAAATCCTGAATGCATTATCCGTCCACATCCGAATCACCGAAACACGAAGTCGTGACTTGATTGAAAAAGTCGATGATCCAATATGAGATCTTCTTGGACTGATATCGCAGTACATCCCAACTTCCCAATCATATTCCTGTTGCATGGGGTCTCATTAAACCACATTGCCCTGGAAGAGAAGAAGAAGGGAAGCCGAAAACCGCTGTTAATATGTGTTGTAGAGGAACATAGTCTTCCAAAGGTCCATTTCAGGTTCCATGTTTGTCTTCCCGGGTGTATCTCAAATGGCCTAAACATCCTAAACTCTCTCTCACTCGAATGACATGTCGCCCTCAAAGGGTATGTTGGAAATTGGTTTTAATTAATACCATGCAATGTCTTCTCCATTTAGCGAGCACCACTTCAACAAAGTGGATCAGTTGTAGAATCTATTTCAATCTATTTCACCATATTTTACCTGTTGCCTGCCCAGACACCCATCTTCCACGGTACCCGGTGGGGTGGAAACCATCCCGACACTTGGAATCCACGGGTTTTTGGGCCAAACACCCCACCTGGTCAGCTGATGAGGCAGCCTCTTGCAAAGCCTGAAGCAAGAGGAGAAGCCAAAAGGTGAAAGCCGATGCACGAGATCCTGACCCAACAACACGTGAAAGTCTTGGAAATTCTTGAAAGAATCTGGTGAAGCGTTGGAATAGAATCAATGCGTTGGTGAGTTGATTGGTATAGACCTGTCCTTTTGCTATAGAAGTAGGAATATCACAGGTGAGGCTTTGCGACTGTCGCGTGACTTCTGACATTCAGTCCTGTCCTATAGTCCATGGTGTGCATCAGATTTCGGGTGCTCCAATGTCAAAGCTTTGTTATAGCTTTATTACATGACTGGGGATTGAAAGCATCTATACTATTATTCTTTACTGTGTCTGATAGACGTGTATGTTGTCGGATCTGTGGCTGTTCCACCTGTTCAATCCTGTTCATCTTTCGAGGAAACCGACGAGTTAAGACTCGAAGTCCGCTGGCTTTCGTCGCGTTGCTCTCAAGTTGGACAGTGCAGATAACAAACGGTTTCTTGTTCTTTTCGCACGCACTCTGAAGAAACACTGTGCAGGGACCATGCGACCCTGCTGCGGTCTGGGTCCCTTCTCCACTACACAGAGGGACATTGATTTGGGGCATTCTTCCAATTTGTGGACCATTCCAAAGGGAGAAGCCCAGTGTTTTCACCATGCGTGAGCCCAGCGGAATGTGCATGCATCGAACCCGGAGCCCACCGTTCCGGAAAAAACGTCGCCTGCAACATGGAATCACTCGACTTCCTGGCGACATCACAGGCGGAGTGCCGACCCTCCATTGAAGTCTTTGTGCGATGGGCATGGATCGGTGGGGCTTTGAAGCACCTGGAACTGCAAAGCGAAGCCGGACGTCCGTTGCACTGAGAGGTTTGATCGAATGGGCGAAATGCCGCGAGACGGCGAAACGTCTACAGCCGAGTCCAGTCCACCGCTTCCCCAAGCACGCGCCCACCGCTTCACGAGTCGAGTCGGGGCACGTGTGACGCAGCGTCCGGTCGCAGCGCCCATCGAAACCGGTGCTGGTGCTCAGACCCATCGGTTCCACCGATTTCGGTCGATGAAACAACGAGTGAAGGTCCAAAGCTGCCAGCCAACGAAAAGGGGGGTTGCCCCTGTGGTGCGAAGAAAAGAGCGTCTCCTTCTCTAGGGCTCCAAGTAAGTATCTACGAGTACCTGTGTTTTCTTCAGGTCTTTGGGGTGCCAGGAAGGTCTTTGGTCATACCTGCATTTCGGAGGCACTTGGAGCGCCTCGGGCTGCCCTGCCTCAGCAGTTGCAGTTGCAGGGCTCGTAAGGTCACGGTGGCCTCGTCACGCATGGCGAGTTGAAGGTGTCAAAGCATCGAACACCGGGGGTTTGGACCGTTCGATCACTCTACGTGTTCGATCATATACTGTAAAATGGCAACATCCTCGTAATTGTAAACAGTATGATGTATTACGTAAACATCATGTTTTACAGTATGATGTATTACGTAATTTTTCATGTGTTCCGTGAAAACCATGCACATGAACACCTCGGCATCGGAGACCTGGCCACATTTACACATCTGAGACCTACCTGACCCCAGTAGACCAACTAAGGTCCTCCGCCCAATCAGCTCTCCAAATCTGATCGACAGAAGAGTTGTACAGAGCTGTACTGAAGCCTTGTTTGGCCCATAAGCGAGAGACCATCATGCCGTGTCAGCCTCTGGAAGCCTGGAAGCCTGTAGTGCAGGGGAGTCCAAATGCTCCTGAAATGACACCCTGATTGGGTGGTTTTTGAGTACTCCCAGTGAATAGGGGAGCAAAGAAAACAAAAAATCATGAGGAGCATCCTGGACCATGAAAAGGTTAGCTTCTGAGAGTAGGTGTGCATAGGTGTCCATACCTTTTGGTTTAGCTGAACAAGCACATGCTGATTGTTGGTGACGCACCTTCTCTCCCATCCCAACATAAAAGTTCTCATCGTGGTGTGTGTCTTTTTCTCTCACCCACCCTCGTCCATCACCACCCACCCTTGCGGAGGACCCGCTCCGGCGAGGTCGAAAAAGCCTCAGCTTCAGAGCTCTCCAAAAGCAGGCTGGATGCGCCCAAGGCCGTGAAGAGCTCCTGGAGGCTCCCCACCACCGGGTGCTTAGGATCCACTCCGAACACCCAGGACTGACAGTCCTCGTGTTCTTCTCGGACCAACGTGCACGTGCGGTCGTTCCCTCGTGTTCGTGCGGTCGGCAAGTCCATGGAAGTCGGGAAAACAGTTGGATCTTCCCAGTGACTGAACTTGATCCCCTGGTTTGAGATCGTTGGCCTGTAAAAGATCACGTACTGACTCAAAAGGTCCTTGGGGTTCATTTTGTCGTTGTGGATGTTCATCCTCTACTTCATCAGGGCCCAAGATGCCCCAAAAGCCCAAGTCCCAGCCCCCGTCGATCTGCACCATCGATCTAGGTGACAAATCTGTTCCTGAGATTGACCGTCTCTCGGTCGCTGCATAATGGCCAAGTCGAATGGCGGCTACAAAGTTTCCGCAAAGCCAGGTAGGAGAACAAAACTTCCGCAAAGTATGTGGAAGGACAAACGGCCATATATATTTGTATATGCCCGTGGATCACACTACGCCACCTACTACACTGCTTATCTTTTGATATCTAAGCAGCTATAGACACATATTCTTGCATAAAAATAATTCTAACATGTGATAACTGCAAGCTGTGCTGGCACTCCGGCGCAAAGGTGTCCTGCGTTTGAAGTTTCTGGAGGGCCGCAGTGGTGGCAGCCGCAATCTGCAGTGGACTTGGGGGATGACAGTGCCAAGATCCCCACACCCATCGGCTGTTGGACCGGCGAGCCTTGCATTTTGAAGATTGTACTACATTGGACCCAGTGCATTGACCTAATACGTCTTGAATGCACCAGGAGCATCCAAAACAAACGCCCCAATCATGTTCATCGGAAATGCCACAAAAATTGCACGAATCTCTGTTTTTTTCTCCATGCTCTCCCCCCTGCTTCCTCACTGCTTGCAGTTCACCCCCGGCCAAACTGAGTCTTGCCTTCTCACCCGCCTCTGCATCTGCACCCTGGCATGGAAAAAAAAAAGTGTGCCGTGGCCAAGACTGGAGGGTTTCGGGGTGGCGTGCGGTGGATATGGCTGATGTTTTGTGGACTGCCGCAGTCAAATTGGCGCAACACCTCCACAGTCAACCAATTCTTCCGCTCAGTTTGTGAGATGGGCGGGAGCACTGGGTCTCGTGGCATGACTTGAGAAAAGGGGGGGTGGACGAAAGGTTGGTAAGCAACCGAAGGTCAGCGGCACCAACTGCAGCAGCAGCCCACCAAGCAGCAGCAGAGGCAGCAGCAGACAAGCAAGCAGCAGACAAGCAAGCAGCAGCAGACAAGCAAGCAAGCAAGCAAGCAAGCAAGCAAGCAAGCAAGCAAGCAAGCAAGCA